GTTCATAGTCCACATAGACAGGTTCAGTTACTTTAGCCCACCCTTTGACAAGATAAATTATTCTCCTCTATCTCTGATAGTACAATACAAACTGGGAAACTCACTTTTGAAATCACCACTATACTGGCTAAATGCACAATCTAACTTTACTTTTTTCACTTTTACTTTCACTAGCTTTCTTCCTTGCACTCTGTACCTACACACATTTATAACGTGACAGAAAAACTTTAGAAATATCCAACCGTCTAGTAAAAACAATATTACACATAAAGAGAAAACTTAGAAGTTTTGAGTAAGATAATGTCAACAATATTACAAAAGCATAATACAAAAATTAAACTACATACACAATGTACAATTCTTGCTGAACTACGTAATGAAACTTGTCATAACTATCGCTTGTAAAACAATTAACTTTTAACACTCTTGTTATGAAAAATAAATCTTGCTATAATGGATGTAGCGTGTATGTCAGTATCTATCTATGTATGTAACCAAAACTCCTTTTATCCCTTGCCAAGTTTTCTAGCCTTTGTCTTCCCCTATTAACTCTCCTACAGGAATTCTTTGCTGTACACCTCCTTTCTGAGGCATTCTACCTAATTTTTGAGGATTTTAGTAGGATACCTTTGCCCTCCTTACCTCCATGTTGGGGTGATTGCCATCTTTGGCTCTTTCCATACTCATGTAGCTTCTTTGCTTTTAGGATCTTCTGGGGTGGGATACTGTCTTTTACAAAGTTCGTTTACCATCCACTTCTACTCTGGAGTTATGGCTAGCTCTTTTATGGGGGTTACTCCTGTGATTTTAGTGTCATGTGGGGTATCTGTGATGCTTTATTCTAATTTTTTTTTTTTTTTGGTTGTCTTGTTTGTCTTATTACGAGTCATGGCATTCTTAACTCATGTTTCATGTCTGGCACCTTCCTCTCATTTACCTGTTTTACCTCTAAGGGTTTCTCCATTAGTCATGTATTCTTGATATTGATTGGAGTTCTGTGATTGACCTGTCCCATCTCAATCATTTCTTGGTTCTTTCCCATTTTATTATCTTGTCCTTTATCATATTCTGGTGGACCATTTCTCCAGAACTGAGGATGCCCAAGGTAGACGTTTTGAATTCTTATACCCATGTTCTTATTTTTCATCCCTCGTGATACTATCTTAGGTTTGTTCACCACGAGATTGGGTACCAGTTTTGCACTTTATGATTTGACTTTGTTTCGGATCTATTAGTCTTTTGTCAGATTTTCAGAGTTTTACCTGACTTCAGCATGATAGGGGATTGTATTTACACCACAACTTGGTCATCTAGCTTCTGTTAGCTCATTCCAAACTGGAGTTGTCACAATATACTCATCTGCTTCTTATCCATGCTGCTTAGGTGGTTGGATTTTGGTTCAGCTTTTGATTTGATTGGTTTTATTTTCTTCCTTAAATCCTGGTGTCTTTACTCTGATCAGGCACCTTACAATTTACCTACATCTCACCCCCATTGTACATTGGAGGTACTTCTTCCATCGAGCACTGGGACTACATGTCATATGTTTATCCACCATTATCTGCTTTGGTTAGCTGTTTCTTCCTCATTAAGGTACCATCTTCCATCTGTCACCATCCTTCACTCTTCAATGAGACTGTGACTGGATAAGTTACATTTTAGTATATATACCTCATGTCCCTTTTTTTTTCTTTAAGGATCCTGCTCTGTGGTGAGTGGCGCCTGTCCAGGTATACATAAACTAGTCAAATCTGCACTGTAAGGCAATGATGACTTCACAATTATAACTTCCATGGCCACTACATGCACACTATTGAGATGGAATGTTCCATAAGATTGCTCGTAGATTTTTCCTCATATTGCTTTGTTAATATGCCAGTTTTGGACCTACTAACCCATGGATTTCATGGGTAAAGCAGAAGGAGGTAGCTGCCCATTCATGCCATTCCTTAGCTTGAATAAATCAGGTGTGTTCTTCTTTTCAAAATAGGGTTTTTTGTAGTCACCTGTTATACTGTCTTCAGTGTTAACATTCCTCTGGACTCTCCACCACATTTTCTCCTCCCTTTTTCTTCCAGAGGAGTACTGGAGTCCTTACCACTTTTCAGTTCCAAGCTGCTGGGGTGGTGGACCATGGAGGTATCCTCTTGAACGTAATAGTAATACACAATACAAAAAATAATGAATCCATTTATTTGAGAGTATGGCAGTGGTGTTCTGATGATGAGATGTCCTCCATCTCTGAACAGGCCAACCCGAGGGGATGTTGTAGCTTTGGAGTGAACCATCAAAATTGCAGTTCATTCCTTTTATTTGGGTCCCTCATCCTACCCCCACATGGGTGTTGGTTCCCAGTGGCTGGGTTTTGGATTCAGAGCAGGACTAATCAACACAAGTTCTCACACATGTATTACTGGTGTCTCTGTTCCCTCACTCAATTGGCCTCATCTTCATTGCTAATGTGTTGTGGGTGACAGTGGATGAATATAGAAGTTGCTATGGTTCTTCCTCTTGCTCTATCTCTTGAAGATTTACATAAACTGAGGACGATACTGCACTGGAGATGATTCCTGTCTGATTGATTTTGAGTGAAATGTCACACAATATGGGGACATCTTGATTATTTCAGTGATCTGTATGTCAGATTCCCGAATCAGCAATTTATTATCAATTTGCTCACATAAATGATGTAATATCTCCCTCCAATCTGCTGAACTTGAGGTGAAGAGGATATGATCCTCTTTCCTACCCTCACATGGATGTTGGTTTCTGGTGGCTAGGTTTTGGATTGTAGTTGACTTACTGCTGGAATGATCCTCCACCTACCCCCACATGGATTTTGGTTCCCAGTGGCTGGGTTTGGATGCGGTTGACTTGCCATGTATGGTCCCTAGCCACTCTACACCTTGGGGCACATCCTCTTACTTTCACACACATTACTGTCTCCCAAGGGATTGAGATTCAGATGTCATGTGGTTCTGATTCATATCCTTTTGGATGTGCTCCTCTTTTTTTCTGCCCATGTTTGCAACACTTCTTTCCACACTGGGCATAGAGTATACCTGGTACAGATGTGGTGCTATTTCGCACGTAGGATCATCTACTGCGAGGATCTCTACTTTTCAGGGGCCCTTTGACCACTTTTGAGGGGTGCTTCTTTCTTTCCCTCACACTGGTCACTCCACCTCTTCAATGTGGGATTCTAGCTATACCTGTGAGTGGAGGTAACATACTGTATCAGAAGTTATAATTTTCCTATACTGAAAAATGTATTTCCGACAGGTACTTATCTCCTCCAACCCTTCCTCCCCACTGAAAACAAGTGTTTCTATTTTCTGCCAAAACTCAAAGAGATAGTTTGGTAGAATTGAATAGAGAGAGTTACTTGCATCAGGAGAATTGTCGCATGATGATTTACATGTCAGATGTAGTTGAACCATGTTGATCATGGGGTACGTGGGAGCTCAAGGCTTGTGGCATTCAAAAATAATTTAGCATATAGAGGACAGCACGAGAAGAGCTATATCTGTGAGTAGAGGTAAGTACCTATCAGAAACACATTTTCAATATAGGAAAATTATGACATTAAGTAATAATTCTACATAAAATATTTGTATTGAAAACATGAGAAAACAGTAATATTATAAATGTTACTAATTAGTTGTTTTATTGACCTTAAATCCAATTAGAAAATATAATTTCAATTTATTATTAAGAATAATGTTTTATGATTATAATTTTGAGAGAATTGACAGACCACAGTAACTTTTGTGCTGTTTTTGTTTCTGGTTTGACACATTGGTTTCCGATACCTCATGGGAAAACTAAAAATATAGCTAACTTCATGATCAGTACTTATTGATTTCACATTTACTACACTTAATTTTTCTAAATCACTGGAATATTAACAAGTTAGAATAAAAATTGAAATGTTAATTTTAACCCTTTATTATTTTCTGTATTAATCTTGTAAATAACTTTAATTTTTTATTTCAACAGAAAAATTTCATAAGTTGAATTGGGCATTTTTCTATGGTTTAACTAATGTTATGAGCTCCTTTAGTTAATGCATTTCTCCAAGCATGAATGTGTAAGTGGCATATGTGCCGATTATTAACAACTGAATAATGGGTAATATTCATATCAACACACCCCATTGTAATTGGGCAATGAGGATGCACATGAAAGATTAAAAAAACATAAATAGAATAAACACTTATCCAATCCATTAAAGCCAAAAAACAAAAGCACAATTGTGTATGAGATCTCTGTACAAGTAGGATATAACAACTACCATGACCCTATCTTTCACAAATCAAAAATAAAGCAATTGTCTCACTAGTTTGATAGTGGAGAAATGAGTGACTCAAGATTGTTGTTATACTGGTGATACAGTTGTGATGAGAAACAACTTGAATGTTCGTGTAACAAGAAATACACAATGCACTTTCCTGATATGGCTGATTTGCATATATCTCATGAATATTTTAACAAACAATTGTCAAAAATAAATGTGACTCAACATTGTTCTGATGTGGATTATGTATAGAATTATCATTGTAGGAATTTCAAAATTACATTGATTTGGCATGAACTGTGCTATTTAATCCTCACATAACCAACTTGTTGTTGTCATGGTTCCCATGGCCACTGGAAAAAATCACTATTTTGGCCTCCCACATGGGAAGTGGCTGGGAATTTTGATGAAAACTTGGAGAATTGAAGTGTGCAGGCACATATTTTTTGTCATTTCTTTATTAACACCATTTCTATGCCCTTGCTGAAAGTTTTCCATAATATTACTTCTGACTGATTGGCAGAGAAGTTAGTAGCTAAATAAAATTATCTTATGAACATTGATTTCATGCTATACTCTCCTGAATAAATTTGTGAAAGTAAATAGAATAGCCTTTTTACATATTCTTCCAAAATTACAATATGTGACAGAAGTAATATCACAGAGCAGTACACATGGTTCGGCATGATATCGCACATCTACAGTGTACTTTCTAATTTTGTTGTAATTTGTATATAAATCTCACATGATTGTACTGTCATTGTTACTTCTGATAATTAATCAAATAATAGTAGCTATTAAAAATAAATCAATATAACAGTCATCAGGCTTATATAAGTGCACAGGAAAAATCACTCAAGACCCCTATTAAGGGCTGAAAAATGTTGATTCCCAAACTAAGCATATTGGCTGAAATCACTCATTTTCTATATGAAATACATAAGAAACACCAGCATTATTGATGGTATTTGTGTTTACATATATGTTATTAGGGACCCTGTCATTAACAATGTGAGGGATGCACAAGCAAGTTAGTGCACAAATGTTTAGAAACATGTTTAAAAAGCTAACTGGTTTGCTATGGAGCTCAGCGCTATTGATGATTCTAGAATTAATTTTAAAAGCCAGGTATTAATAATTGCTGTTAATTTTATAGTGTGTTTTAAAAGTACTATTTGTGTGCATGAAAACTGCTCATAATTTTGGATTTGGTACTCAATAAAAATTGTAATCATTAGTTATCGGAGAAAACATTATTGAGTAACATTTTTAATTTTTTCTTTTATCCCACATAATGCACAAATAAAAAAGTTTGAAAACATTTATATTACATAAGTTTACTGCACGGAGTTAATACTATGACTGTTATTCAATGTTTGTGTGGTGGTGAAGTTAACCTGCTTTGATTTACTGTTTTATGTAGGATTCACCACCACTTTATTGTGCATCTCAAGGCCTTCAGGAGGTTCAGCCAAAGTGAGATAATTCCATGAAACATCAGTTTGGACTCCTTTATTATACCACCCAGAGGACAGAGAGTATAGGACATTTGATGAGAACAGCACATACATTGTGGATACTTGTAGATTCTATGTGCACCAAATAACCCCATCCTTGCTCATGTTTCCAGGCTTTCTTGTTTGAGTGGACCTTTAGTACTCAGAGTTCTTGACATTTATAGGACTTTCAATAAGTGTTCATTGTTTTGAACACTTTCACTATTTCTAAGAATTAAGGATTTTAAGATTTTTCAGAGCTGTTAGCAACTATTATAGGTTTTGAATACTTCTTAAATATTATGTTCGTCACCAGAGTTTTTAAATATTTTAAAAATCATTAAGCTTGATGTGTAGGTATGAAATAGCCTCATTATAAAATGAAATCTGATTTTGTTTCATTTTTATTTGAAAATACAGTGGTTACCTCAGAAGCAAATTTTGTCATTATATCATAATCCAGGCCTCGACAAATTTTGGGCACCAGATCGCCATGGTGACTAAAAATTTCATCTTGGTGCGTAGTATTGTCTCCCATTTTATTTGTGCATAGAGCTGTGCTAAATAAAACTCAAATCTAGAATGGTTCTGGACTCTTGGAAGTCTGGAACTATTTTTGCATTTCTTGAGTCCTAAATCAAATTTTGTTTCTAGGATTTTAGTGGTGGATTCAGCACTTCTTCATGTTTTTACAGGAATGAAGTGCTGAGGTTGCACAACATGATACTAATTTTGCATCATTTTGTTTTTCTTCTTTCTCTCAATTCAACCAATCAGTGCATGTGTTTAGACTCAGACGGGACCAAAGGCAGTTAGTTCAGGCAATACTATGAAGTGGTTGTTGATATCGTGATCATTAGCATGCACACATTGCTGTGAAAGTAAACAAATATACGTAGCCCCCATTTCCTGGTACAAACAGTTGTGAAGTTAGGTTAGGCACACCTAGCTCCTGAGTTTTTGGGGTAGCTCCTAGATCTGAAATATTTGTCGAGGCCTGTCATAATCAGTTTCACACCTTATAAGTGAATTAAAGATAGTTATATTCTTGCTTCAGGTATTTGCTGTAATTGGTAAAATAAATGAATATTTTCCTGAGTTAAACTAATACATTTACACTGATGAATCAATTTTCTGAAAATGTAGCTACCAATTAAATGAACTATTTATTTTATATGTTTGAAATAAAAGAAAAATTGTTCTTTTTACAATGTATCCAAACTCTTTTTGTATAGAAACCTTGGCTTTTAATTTTCTTTAAAAGTAAAGATTGGGAAAAGTGCAATAAATTCATGTATTTTTTTTTTTTTGTGTAAAGTAAAAATTTGTATCTATAAACCCAAGTAATTTTTCTGAAGTTTTTTTTTTTTTATCATTGCAACTTTTTGAGATTCCAAAAACCTGTACTTTTCATTTGAAGTTTCATAACTTGTGGGTAGAAAATTAATAATATTGTTTATCGAAACAGAAAAATCTTACTTGCATATTAATCATATGTTGATAGAATACTCATATATAGACTACAAAATGTATGTATACTTTTTTTTCTCTTGGAAAATTCTTCTTTATTTTAAAATTGAAAAGAATTGCTTAGTGCTACGTATACCTTAGATATGTTGTGCTTTTATTGAAAGATGTATTTGTTATATTGTGGTGATAGTTTTTTTCTTGTTTGTTTGTAAATATGACCCACATTAGAAATTATAAGTTATGGAAAGGATGTGTGTGTCCACATAAAGCCAATAATTAATTTCCCTATATATATATATGATTGTAAGAAATCATATATGTTACTTTACCTCCAATTGAGCCTTCCGAAGATGTATATTAACTACCTGTGTTGATGTGTTTGTATATTATGTTTAGTTTCTTGGGAATCTTGCAGTAGCCATTCTTGGTACAAATCACAAACTTAATAAATATTATTTTTTTTTTATAAATTAATGTCCAGGAAAAAAAAGCACAAAAAATTAGCATTTTGATGCATACTTTAGCTTGTATTGTGGTTGTCAATAAAGTTACATATTAATTGGTCTGTAAATTCTGGATTAGACCAATGTTTCTACTAGTGACCATCCTGGGGTATTATACACCAACAATCTTCCTTTCGATGTTGAGAATTTAATGTGTGGAAGTTCCTAGGACATCTGTGCTTCGATTCCATATGCCCATAGGCCTAAAAAATACAACATTGTTTCCATTTTCTAATTAATCTTATTTTGTTACTGTGACCCTTAAAAAATGTTTCTTAATTTTAGTAACTAAGATTTTGACAACTGCCTTTTAAATCCTGGTAATTCACTTGTAATGGTCACGAGTAAACTGCACCCTTCACTGGTCAATTTCTACCATCAGCATAGTGACAAATTATATGTTTGTTTGGCTATTGTCATAACTCTTGGAAATATTTGGTATACATTGGTACTATTCATAATACTTCTTAGGCATGTCCCAAGCCACATTACTCTCACACACACACAGACAAGAAAAGCAATAAATAGAGGCTCAGTCCAAATGACCTAGTTTGGAATGTGCAGTGTGACAAAGTTGCATGGTTACAACAACATTTATCATCCAATATAGTATTTTGAGACCTTCAAGTTTTTGAATGGGACTTCCAAAATTGATGTGCTAGAAGTTCTGGACTTTCTGCTGTTGCAAATTAGTGGAAAAACTGTGTTACACTGAAACCACTCGATTCTCCGAATAAAATTACATTTTCATTTCCATATTTAAGAACATATTATGTGTAATGGTACACACTGTTCTTATTGCTTTAAAATGCAATAAAAAATTGCATTTTCTGCAATAAAAAACTTACCAACACATTATTTAGTACACTAACATTTAACTTCATATCTTGTATTAAACTTTCAACTAGAATAAAATAAAAACATGCTGTGTCTTGTTCTATGTTATACCATACACTAGACCGAATCTTTGCATTTCTTCTCATTCCAACTTATTTGTTGAAAAAGAGGATTACAAATTGTGTAGATAAAAAAGAAAAAATCAAATATGCTGTTAGGTGTTTATTAGGAAAGAAAGATGAATTTGGAAGTCTACTCAAAACATGAAATCAAAGAACTGAAAGATGTTTTGTAGAGCATTGGTAGCCTCCCATTGGTTCAGCAGTATGTCTAAGGGCTCACATCACTAAAAAACAGGTTTCAATACTCATGGTAGGCACAGCCAGGTCTGCCGACAGGAAAGGGGAAGGCAACTGGCCATTAGCCCAGGCAAATGAAATCTAGTTATGCCATAAAGCCCACAAACCAACTTTAGGCTATATCTTCATTTAATCTTAAAAAAGCATAGTTTTTGGCTTTTCTTTACATATAGACACTTGATACATTAAGAGTGATTGAAATAATAATTTGAGTAATAATTAATATATGTTTGTTACTTTATACATTTAATAGATATTTGTTGTTACCTTATTAACGTTTTTACGCTTATACCATGAGCTAAAAATGGCTGTTGCTGTGATTTTGCCTTGTTTATGAACTCGTTGCTGTTCTAATTTCAGATATTTTTTTAATAAGTTCTTAAAAATGTTAAAAAGAGAGAGAAAGGGGGCCTAGCGAGGATGTTTGCCCAAGGGACTGTGCTAGCTCTCAATGCTCTAGTGCACAGTATAGATAGCCTATTGTGTTGCTGTGTGCTTAACATCAAACAAAAGCATCAGCATGCAGATGTAGATGGGGTTTGTCAAACCTCCCGAGATAGTTCATTGCATCCTATGAATTTATAAAAATAAGAGTTAAAAATCAGTGGGGGAAAAAAAAAGGCAACAGTTATAATTTTTTTTTATTCAGATGATAAGAATGATATTGTATGCTTTAAAATGACTGTACATTTTAGGTCAGTCACCTCCAATTATATGCTTCCAGTATTCCATGACAGTTTCTTAAAAGTGTTGTAAACCAAACATTATTCTAAGAATTTGTGAGTGAAAGCAAAGAATACGTTGTAATATATATCTCGTAGAATGCTCCTGTACAATCTGTGATGAAAGGATGTTAATCAACAAAAGTTTTGATACCTTCAGCTATTTATGCAGCATTTGGTGGTGATTGAATACCTAAGTTGACAATGCAGCTAAGGCAACAAAAGAAACTTGTAAATTTAATATTTATTCTTTAGTTAACTGATTAATTCCATACATTTTTATAAAATGAGAAATATCAGTAGAATTTAGTTCAGGGGCATAACTGTAATTTTGAAGTCCAGGTGTAAGAGATTCCCTTGGGCCATTTAAAAGAAAATAACTATATTATGATGATGATTTCAAGTAGAAATTCAATTTGAAATCATCTTAAGAATGAAAAAGACAAGAAAGATAAAACAAAGACAGTATACTCAAGTTACATAAATTTTTTCTTTGGAACTGTCTTGAGGCAAATTCTTTTATAAGGCCTCTTGTGTGCAGTTTCTGACTTGGTACTAAGCATTGTGAGGTTTGAAAGTCTGTCTGGGCTTGGGGTCTCCTGTGTAATTCACCTGCAATAGTTACATGGCTGATTTAGTGCCATATTTTGTTTTCAAACTTCCACAAGTTTTTATTATGCCCAGGTAGGACAGCGGTAAGTTTATCGACTTACAATACTAAAATCCTGGGGTAATTAACCCACAGTTGACACAGCAGATAGTCCAATGTGGCTTTGCTCTACAAAATAACCAATCAACTAGTTTTTATTATACTTATTTATACGGTAATTTAAACACAATTCATTGGTATCACTACATTATTTGTTATCATGATTATTTTATTTAAGCTGTAATATACAGCTTTCTACAAGATTTTATACATTTCATTGACATGATTATTGTTGTTTTTTTGTTTTATTATACTTATTTATGTAGCAGTTTAAACACAATTCATTGGTATCACTACATTATTTTATCATGATTATTTTGTTTATTATGCAATATACAGCTTTCTACATGAGTTTAAACATAATTCATTGACATGATTACCATTTATAGCATTTGTATAGAATTTAATTTTACATAAGTCAGTCATATTTATTAATACAATAGAATGCTGTAGTGCAAAGTTTAAATAAAATAAATTTATGACAGTATTTTAGAACACTACCCAATAAGTATATTGTATTTTACTATTTAAATGTGAGATTATTATTTAGAATAATATAGATCGTATTTTAAAATTATATTTATTGAAATACACTTAAACATTTACTTATTTATTAAGTAAATGATAGTATGTGTATTTTGGGATTGATTTAAAGTATTAAATTGGACAGAATGGGGTTTTACATTCATTCAGCTTCACTTTCAATTATCCATTTTGTTTTGTGATTTTTTTTTTTTCAACTGTTGACTACCCTGTGCCAAATTGTGTAAAAGTGCTTTAGTTTCATTGTTATTTATCAAAACTAAAATCAGTTAACTCTTGCTCTTCTCATGATTCTTATTTCACTGGAGTTATGTTAATTTGATAGATATCCTGGAAAGGTTGATTACATGTTGACTTGAGGCTCGTCCCAATTTTTATATAAAGTTACAAGTAGAACGTTTAGAATGTTCTTACTTGTCTCGATTCAAATAGTACGTTTAGAAAGAACTTGGACTTTCCACTTTTGCTTCACACATGATTGTATCAGCTGAAAACCATAGGAGCTAAATGTACTTTTATTTTTAAGATTAAGACATTCGTTTAGAGATTGTATTACATTTTTACCAAAGATTTTTAGTTATCTTTCTCAGTGCTGCTCTTTTGAATCTACAACACATTGTATTACATCTTTCTCTTTTGATTCTACAACACTTTGTATAATGTAATATAGGATATTGGAGAAGATAGTGATAACTAGAAATTAATTTTTTTGCTTTACAGCTATATTGTATTTATTACAATGACTATGTATTCCATTGTTGAGTTCCTGTCATAATTTAATTTCAGGTTAAGACTGTGATAATTATTTTGTTGTACTTTGTTTTATGCTATATTGTAATTTTGGTGTTATGCTCTTTCATAAGTCATAATCTTCTCATTTGTGAATAGTTTTATAAATGTTTGTGCCAGAGTGAAAGAGAAACTAGAAAATTAGCAAGATTTGCAGGAAATATACATGTACATGGTGTATCCACCAGTTGTATCTTTTACAACACTAAATCTTGATTTTTTTTTATTTTATAGCTTTGTTGAGTGAAAAGTTGAAACATACTTTATTATAATTTGCATAGTTTAACACAATTTACCTTTAAGTGCACAATAGAAAGTCTAATTTAACAATCGCTCAAATATTTTATGATTGTTCATGAATGAAGAAGCCACTGCTTTATTTTTTATTATTATGTTATGAATGGTGCTGTTAATTGATATCACAGTATTCATTCAGAAAATAGATAACATCATATTGGTATTGTATATCAGTTGCAGTTTTTATCTTTATGTTTCATGATGTATACTTGATATGATATCACATATTATAGAACTCAAGATACTTTCTGTGTCATTGTTTAGTTAGAATCTATCCTTGTGTTTTGTTTCTTACCAAGAAATAACTGATTATCTTTTTAATTTCTCGATATATACAGTAAACTACAATTATGGAGTTTTAAACACAATGTATACCACTGAAGTAAGTTTTGTAAGGATAATTTTCTAGCAGAATATATAGTCTCTAATCCTTAGTATGTCAAAGAAAATGTTTAGTATTAGACCACTATATATTGTCAACTATTTCTAATCTCTAGTTTTTATTAATATGATAATACCATGTCTCCTAACTTAAGAAATACAATTTTTATTGGTACGGTACTCGATTGTCTTCAAAGTTAAAAAATGCAGCTTTTATTGGTAGAGTAACTGATTGTCTCCTAAGCTAAAATTACTAGTTTTTATTGATGAATTATTAAAGCAGAAAGAGGAGCACTTTACTACATTTTTGTTTTGTTCTAGATGTCTGGGTCAAATATTTTATAAACGATTGTAAGCAATTTAAAAATTTTCTATTATTTCACTGTGATAATGTGGGCTAGTCACTGTGCAGAATATTTAATTGTATTTTACATAACATAAAAAAAAATTTTTAATTGTATACTTTTGGGCAAGCTGCCTGTTGGAGATTCCACCAGAAACATGAAAGTTCTGTAGTAATAAACTTGTTTTAAAAAATGTGGTGTAGGATCCAGTGACATCTTTTTTAAACCTTATGACTTTTGATACTAAAGAACAGTGCTGTTATGATATAAATAGAGAAGAAAAAATTTTACCTTTGCATTTTTATGGTTTCAAATACTAACATTGCAAATACATTTCATATATAGAAAGTTGTGTTGTACAACCTGCAAAGATTTAATTTTATAAGCAGAACTAGTAAAAACTGAGTGACATTAGTAGGTATGTAATATTTTATCAGATAAGGTGACAAATATAATATATGCAGCTGTTAAAGGTAATTTTTTTGATATTTATTTTTCCTGGTATATTGATTATCTATATCTATAACTACAGATATTGATCAAGTAATTTCTAAGTGTGGGGGTCCTGATTGCATGTTTATTGTTACAGTATACATGCATTGTCATAAGATAAAGAATGAAAGTACATTCATTGTATACAAATATATAAAATGCATATATACATATTAATATGCACCTAATATTTTTAGAAACTGTAATCAATTGTATGAAAAAAATACGATTAACTGTGTCACCTGTACTTCTCCAAAATTGCAGTTGAAGTCTATGTAATGTACTGGATAATCTTGTAAGTAGAGTTTTTTAACTAGATTGTTTTTGTTACATGCATAGTGTTCCTTACAATGTTGTATGTAACTAGTAAGTTATTATTGTAATTTGTTTTTCTATATAGGTGACCTGATTTTGTATACCAAAAGGCTTTATTTCTTTATGTGTGATATACTTTTATGGACAAAGATTCTTACATAAAACAAACAAGAAATATTTCTCTTATGAGCTTTAAAATGTGCATATCTGGAAGATATTCCACAAAAGGGCTTTGTATTATTACTATTATGAGTTTTTGTTTGCTAGGTGTCGTATTGCTTTAGTGACATGTTTGACAGATTTTACGAAAATGTTTTGTGCTTTGTAATGTAATTAAATCATATTTTTTCTTGCTTATAAAATATTATAATTAGCACAAAGAATACATTATTACTGTAGAGATATGTGAATTATAACCCCAAATAAATTTCATGGAATTATTTATCTCAGAGTACAGACTTTTCAGTAAAACCATAATGTTTTAAACATACAAGCTCAAAATTAAAATCAAAGATAGAAGTATCAAGTCATTTTTCCAGAGTTCTCCCTCCACTTTTTTTGGCTCTTGTTAAGCCAAGGTATTGTATTTTTGGGAAATTTAAGTAAGTATTTCTTATGAATAAGTGGCCATATGTCATTGAGTTTCATTCAAACATTTAATTCAGTCTGTTAATTTCAAAAATTAATAAACCACAGAATGTTTATGGTTACAAACTAATCATCAAAATGTGTGATCTATTCTTTACTGTGAGACAAAATTAAAAATTTGTTAGAATTATAGAAGCAGATCCAAAGTTATATTTTACCTAATTGTTGATGTATACATGTCGAAAATAGAGACGTATAACCATGTTTTTCAGCCAAGAACCCAACACAAAAAGTTAAATATGCAATTATACATACATATACATATAAATACAAAAAATAGAGAGGGTGAGGTTCATTCACAGTAGTAATAAGCAAGTTTGAGTGCACATATTAGTACTTGTTGCCTGCCTCTCCACAAAAAACAATTTAAAGTTTATCACTATTAATACTTCTTTCTTTCTTTTTTTTTAACAATTAGATGCTTGAAATAGACAGTCTTAATATTTATCATATTTGTTCTTAAAAGCATTCACCGACGTTGCCTCCAGAATATCATGATTGACTATTTTATTCCATTTGTTTACTACTCTGTGTGTATAGAAATTTCTTATTACAATGTTTTTTGTATATTTTTGCTGGGTCACTTGGATTTATTATAAATAATTTTTCAGCATTTATATTTTCAAATTCTTTTATAATCTTAAAGGTCTTTATTATGTTTCTTTTATGCCTCCACTCCTACAGTGTAGTTAGATTTAATCTCTTCAGTCTCTCTTCATATGCTTTATCCTTTAACTCAGTTTTGTGGCTCTTATTTACACTCTTTCCAAGGCATCAATATCTTTTTTTTTTTAGGTATGGTGGCCAAGCTTGTACAGCATACTACAAATGTGATCTTACATAGGTCTTATATAATATGAAAAATATCTCAGCATCCAGAAACTCAAAGGAAGATCTTATGTTTCCAAGAGTTTGGTTGGCCTTCCTAGTAACTTCTGAAATATGGCACTGGACTTCACTCTGAAGAATCTAATATCCCTAAATAATTTTCAGTATCTGTAATAGTTAGCTTAACCCCATTCATGAAATAATCTTGCTTGGTATTACTTATTCCCGAATGCATAACCTTACACTTTTCAATATTAAAATCCAGCATCCACTCCTTTGACCAATTTGTTAATATCTTGAGATTGGACCTTAATTGTTCAACCTGATCTTTAGTTCTTATTGAATTATATATTTTAGAATCATCAGCAAAAATTTTACATGATGAATTGATATTCCTGGGTAGATCATTAATGAATATAGCAAACAAGATTGGTCCAAGCATCAAGCCCTGGAGAACACCACTAATAACCTTCTTCTACCCAGACTGAGATACATTGAAATCTATTAATGAGATATGCTTCAATCCAATCATAGATATTTCCTGTAATACATACTATTTTAACTTAAGTAGTAATCTTCTATGAGGGACAGAATCAAATGGTTTGCTAAAGTCGAGAAATACAACATCAAATGGTGCACTCTCATTATAAGTCCAGCCTTCCAAGGTCTCAATTAAATTAGTAAGACTTGATCTTCCCGGTATAAAACCATATTGCAAGACTGAAATTATATTTAACCTTCAAGTTGGTCCATTATCCTTTTTCTAATAACTTTCTCCAATAATTTAACCACCTGTGAAGTGAGAGAAATTGATCTATAATTTGCTGCAAGTTTCTTGTTTCCCTTTACATGAATTACAGTCATAATAACAGATCTCCATTCATATGGTAGTTTTGCTGACTATAGAGATTTGTTAAAAATTATTGTTAAGGGTTTTGCTAGTTCATCTGCTGCCAGTTTCAGTATCTTTGGATGGATATTATCAGGTCCCATGGCTTTGAATTCATTTATCTGCTTCATCAACTGAAACACCTCACCTTTCATTTACAATCAAATCTAAAATTTCATTTTGGCTGTAACTAACATCATTTACATTATGTATTCAGTTATTTTCTTCAGTCCCAAATAAAGACTGTGTAGCCTCACTCAAAATTAAAAATTCCTCACCCAATTCTTTCTTAAAACACAGATACAAAATATTCATTAAACACCTGTGCTGTTTCCTCACTATTCTGTGTCAGATCTCCATTAATGTTAACTACCCTGTTGACAGGTTTTTGATATACTTTTTTCTGTTTACTTATTTATAAAAAGATCTATTAATCTTCATATCTTTAACAAGTTTTTTTCAAATTTACATTTTATTCTTCTTATAATTCTTTTTTACTTATTTCTCTGTTTTATATATTCTTTATAATTACTTCTAGTTTAAATCTTAAGAGTAAACCAAAGTATTGTGCTAAGCTTAAGAAGTTGGTCTTTTCTTCATATCTACTTCAATTGATCAAATTGGCGGTAACTTGAAACCATGAACAGTCGATTGATTAACAATCGAAGCAATAACTAACGGTTCAACCTTCAAACATAATAATAATTTTTATAGTTGTGTAATTAAGGTAACAAAAGGCACATTTTAAAATGAAATAACTTACTGTAACGATAATTTTATATACCGTATCGCGCTGTATAATAAATTATATTAAGAAACTCTCACTTTCCATCTACCAATCAAGTTCATTGAAACATAACTACGAAAAGTCAACCACTCACGTGCGTTGTAATAGTTCAGTTCGACAAGCATGTCGTTGAGAGGATGGCTGTTGCTTGTGGCTTTATGTTGTTCACGCATCGCGCTTTGGTCATTAAATCCTGTTATTAGTATGAAAGTGAGGCTATATTTGAGAGTAGTGTTGTTACTTAAGGGGTTTAGGCCTATAAGATTGCTTTGCGTGATAGATTACAATACTAAATTTCGAGGAAGAATAAGAAGTATAGTTTCTACATAATAAATATATAATTTTTTTCTTTATGTATTATCGTAATTGCAATGTCCTCAGTGCCCTTAGCGTTCAGTAAGTGGTGCCACGAAAGCTTGACAACCCGCGAGCTGTTTTCCTTTTCTACGGAAGAACGCTGTCTCAGGGCATAGGAAATATACCTTTGAACTACATTTCAGAGGTAAATATTAATGACGATTTAATTTGTTCTCGGTGAATTTGATAATGTCTTGGCTCTACATGTTTTAATACTAAATATAAGATACAGACAGTGTGACTGTGAGCTAATAAGCGGTTTCCCTCGTTCAGACATTGGAGCCGAGTAGGGTAAAACTTAGGGCCTTTCCTTGAAGTTGAATGCCAGTCGATATGACCCAACCTTCTAGTTGGAATAGTTCTAGTAGAATATTATTTGTGGCCTTTATTTGTACAAAAATATACCATGAAGCAAAAGGAAATCTATTTCGCTTATGAAAGTGTGAGTTTTAATTTTAAAACTGTTTGTTTTTGGATCCTTAAATATATCGTTAAACGAGTTTGAAACATATCCTTCATTTCACTGTCCATTAGTGCTATATTCAGTTAAGTAATTTATACTGGGCGACCGTTTTGATGACACGAAAGAACCAACAAACATATAATTTAAAATTAACTGAGTTAAAAAAGTGGAATATATAGTAAAGAAAAATGAAACCACTTTGGATGACCTGTTTACTTCTTTCGGCCATGGCGTCAGTTTCAGCCGACTGCCCTGAAGCTTGTCGTTGTAGGGGCCGTCCATCAATTAACCACGGTCACCGAGTCAAGTGCAATAAATTAACAAACGTGTCTTCGTTAACACCTGACAAGCTTGCCAAACTTCCAAGGAATACCGTTTCATTGTAAGTAGTAAATATTTTCTGTTGTTTTTTTGGAGATTAAGGAAAATCACTATTGATATTCAATTTTCATTTGTGGGGGAGAGGGAAATATGGGTGATTGTAGTGCTGAACTTTGCTGAAAATATCGTTTATTTTATAGTTATACTGATAGCGAGAGGATACTCAACTTATGAAACAATGCATTCTAATCTTTTTAAGTAGTAACGTAAGAAGGGTGTTTTTTAATTAGCTATACCAAGTGCCAGGTTAATTTTCAGTTTCGCTCTAAGTACTTAGCTTGCTTTGATCGAAAGTTATTATTAAGTACTATTAAAAGCATTAATATATTTCAACTTATCAGTAGTATTGCTATTACTGTTAACCATGTCAAGCTTATTGTGAAAATTAAGTTTCCGAAAAAGTTTTAAAAACGTACATAACTGATAGGATTGTGTACATTTTTTCTTATGCACCACAAAAATGTAAAAACATCTTTTGCATCTCTGTGTTTCGACATTGCAGAATGTGATATTCATCGACATTACATCAAGAAATTCAAAACGTCATGGCCATTGCGAAGGATTTACTACTGTATCCTCTTCAGTTAATCAGAAATGCTATTGTAAACCACGACTATTTTAAATTCTTAAATAGTAATAAATCAACGCTTTTGTTCCACGAAAATATTCCAGTTGTTTGCAACGGTGAAATTATTATTATAATGGTTTTTGAGCATTATTTTGCTGAGATGAAAAGGTATAATTAGTTTGACTTTTAGCTGGCCCCTCACTTTAAGACAGTAACCTAAACTGCTGTTGCCAAGACCCAGCTGTTCTTCGGTGCAAAGAAATCTTGTGCGCGTTAGTACTAGGAGTGCGATTAACATTTAAGTAAGTGTTGTGTTGTTACAAACTGTCAAATCAATATTGAAGACGTGTGTGTACGCAAATAAAAAAAATTAAATATGACATCATTTACCTTCGATGTTACAGCAAGAGTTTATTATCGATGCGCATGTTGAACAAAAAAAAAAAAAAAAAAAACGTTAGGAAATATTTTAAAAATAAAACTATTTCGTACGTGGTTAAACATTTTCAGAGGATCAGTATATTAATTTCTGGTTGAGCACTCATGAAAACTACTGTTGTCGAGTAGTTAATTGGAAGATGAGCTTTCAAACTAATAATATTTAATGATAAGACAAAATACTAAGTAGTAAGCTTGTGTTTCAATTCATTTTGCGGAAAGTCTGCGACTCTCCGTTCAATAGTACCATTACTAGTTAGTAGTACGATGTTTGAGAGGAAGATTAGGCACTACATACATTGTTCTCTTTTTTTCTGTCATATTTCATCTTCAACAATTTAAAACATAATTATTACCGTATACCGTAAGAACATACTTCTAATTAGGGAAGACTGCAACAAGCCAGGATTGCTAGGGGTGTACTGATAAAAAATATAGCACCACAATATTGTATGTTACACGTAAGAAAAATAGAATACACAGTCGTTTATTAGTGAATACCTGGTTGTGTTTGTATATCCGATTCATTAACAACCAATTTATCACGTTACACAGCTTTTTGTTCCAGAGCTAGATTTGCCGCCGATATTGTTACTGAAAGTAAGATTATAATGAAACCAATTATGTGCGAAGGACACTATTTTAATCTAATAACTTGATATTTTGTAGTCAGACGGTTTGTTGGCATGTATTTCTTTAAGTGTAATCGTTTTTCACTCTCTCTCTCTCTAAAAAAATAATCATATATCTATCTATATACTATATATATATATATATATATATATATATACTATATACTATATATATATATATCTATATAGTACGTATT